GCGGCAGGGGCGGCCACCATGGAGTTCCGCCAGGAGGAGTTTCGGAAGCTGGCGGGTCGCGCCCTCGGGCGGCTGCACCGGTGAGCCTGGGGGGATCGTGGGGTGTGAAGAGTGTGGGTCGGAGGGGGCGCTGACTCCCACTGGGGACAGACGGACAGAGGGACAGGCGGTCCTGGGAGGCGCGTGCGTGCCGGGTCCACCCATCCACCCGGGTCCGACGGTGCGGTCCTCCCGTGCGCTCGCGTCCAGTACCGCTCATTTTTCTACAGCTCACCCACTCGGGCTCCGCTCTTACCCTGGGACTGGATATCCGCCCCCCGCGTCTCTGCCCACCTGCCCGGGTCTCCTTGTCCCCCCCACCTTTGCACCCCTGCCTCGGATGTCTCTTTCCTTTTATCTCTGGGTCTCTGTCCTCTCTTCTCTGGGTCTCTGTCCCCGGTCTGGGATCGGTCCCCCGCCTCCGGCTTTCTGGTCATCGCTTCCACTAAATCTCTCCCAGCCGCTGACTCGGAGCCTCTCCACCTTTTCTCTGAGTCCCATTTCTTGGGGTCTCTGCCCGCCTCTGTCTCTGGATCTCTGTGGCTTTCTCTGGGTTGCTCTGTCTTCGTCCCGAGTCTGTCCTTTCTCCGGGTCTTTCTGCGTTTCTGTCTGTCAGGGTGTTTAATCTGCAGCTAAAGCGGATTGGGGCCCATTGGCCCTTGTCCTTGAGGGGGGTTAAGCTGGGAGGAAGAAGCCGGGGTGTCCTGGGTCCCTGGTTGGGGGAAGGGAGTTGCAAGCTGAAAAATTAGGCCTGTGAAACAGGACAGACTTCCCAGAGGATGCAGGTTGGAGCAGTAAGGGACTTCCTCCCACCCATGGCAATGACCCCAGCAACCTGGGTGTCCCTCACAGGTACTCTGGACATCGCCCCATCTCTCACCCCCAACCCCAGCTTTGGCTCCGAGTCAGAAAAATTACTCAGCTGCGGAAAAACCTAAAAATATCTGGCCACAGAGCAGGGAGGAGACGCCTAGTCAGCGCCTTGCCCCTGCTGCCCTGCCCTCGGACCCTGTCCCCAGACCCTGTCCCCTTGGCCCCTCCGCCCTGACCCCACCTTTGGTGACCCTCAGTCCATCTCACTAGGCCGTCTGAATCCTTTCCTAAGTCTAACACAAGTCCTGCTTGCTGCAGGTCACCTGCTAGCTCCAGAATTACCCCACCCTGTAGTAACAGGAGAGATGGGAGTCAGTCTGGGAGGAAGGTGGCCGGAGGGAGGAGGCGAGGCGGAAGGATGGTGCAGTGTGGGGAGGGCGGTGGAGGGGGAGCTAAGATAACTTCACCCCTTCTTTTTCCAATTTTCCAGCCCCTCCCCACCCTTTTTCTCGCCTCCTTTCAC